AGGCAGAGCAGAGTGATATATATATATATATATATACCTGTATATTTGTGTGTGTACTGTAAATCGACCACCCCTGTCATATGAGAAAATCACATCTTCTAGACTTTTTGTTGCTTAAAAGTATACTTTCCTCAACTGATTGGAGGCCTCACCCTGGCTCCACCATTCGCCTGGTTGTGGATATAATTGCTCCCTCTACTCATCAGGATCACTCTGCTCTGCCTCAGACAATCACACAAAAAGTAAAAAGCTGTCTCTCTTCTTATACACAGTGAAACTCCTTCCCACTTGAATACCTCGCACCAAAATATTGAGGTTTATTTGTATTTCCTGTTCAAATTTAGTCCAGAAAAACGTTTATCTCAAAAACTGCAAATATTCACTAAATAAATCCCTCAACGACTGGAGACATTGGCAAACCACCAACAACCAGGAGCCGCTGATTAATGTTTCAAAAGCCCAAATACCTAAACTACAGCCCCAAATTCCAAATGAACTGAAAAGGAAGCACCGTGGACCAGTTCCCATCAACCTGGAGGCGGTGCTCGAGTATCTGACCGCCGAGATCCTGGAGCTGGTGGGAAACTCAACTCGTGACAACAGGAGGACCGGGATCATCCCCTAGCACCTTCAGCTGTCTCTCTGTGGTGACAAGGAGCTTGTCAGACTGATGGGAGCAGTAACCATCGCTAAGGGGTTTCCCTTTGGGATTAATAAAGTATTTTTGAATTGAATTGAATTGAAACCACTTGTGTTTCCTCTATCAAAAGCTCTTCTCAGTCTAAAATGTTCACATTATTGTCATCAATGGAGTTCCTCTTGTCTTTAAGGTGTAGGTGAAAAGCTGAGTCTTGGAGTTAGCTAGAATTGTGCTTGTATCTCCTAGCTCATAATCAGAACTGAAGACTTTCAGATGAGATGTGAAGCATCTTTAAGAAACAAGAAAATGAGTCCTTTTTTTTCCTAATAAAGTCGAAGGACTGCCAGGTTGTGGATGACTGAGAATCTACACAAACATCCATCCATCTATTATCGTTATCTACTTTTTCCTTCTGGGTCACAGGGGTTGCTGGTGCCCATGTCCAGAAGTCACTGTGTGACGGGCATGGTACATCCTGGACAGGATACAAGTTCATCACTGGGTCACATCGAGACAAAGGGGACAAGAAAGCTTTTACACTCTCATTCACACCGAGGGACAATGTAGAGTTAACCAACAATTACCAGCGTTCATGTATTTGGTCTGAGGAAGGAAACCTATTGTGTTTAAATACATTTGTCTCTAGTTTTCTGATATTATCATGCTTGTTTGTTTTTTGTATTTTCCTCAGCAGAATGTTGTGTGGTTTTTGAAGGCAAAGCTGGAAATTTCTAGTGAAAAAGTTGTAGATGTTATTCTGACACTCAGCCTCTAGATGGTGGTCAAATCAAATGAACAGTAAGTTCACAACCTGGATAAAAGTACTTTACACTAAAATCTGTTTTTATCACTGTGATCAATGACAATAAAGATATTATATATAATAGTGATATGATATATTATATTATTTAGTTAGTTATCTGCAGTCTGTACATTTCCACAACAATTAAATTAAAATAGAAACATATTTGGATCTAAAAGGATCCTAAAACCACATTGCTGTAATTTTGAAATACTTTCTCCTTTCACACTGTCACTTTTCATGAAATCTATCATCTAATTATGTTCAGACAGATTCAGGAGTTTAATCTTGCACATTTGCATTCGTGACAGAAGGTGTAATCATTTTAAACACATTTTGAGATTGTAAAGAACAAGTGCATTTATTCAGTATACACAGACATTTTGCATAGCAGTGTGTTACAGTGAGCTCAGATTTTAAAACTTTGATTTAACTTGTACAATACTGTCCTTTTGCCCAAACAGTTGAGCTGTTTGCTAAATGCATTGTTTTACCTTTAGCTGCGCCCGTCTGCAGGGATCACCACATTGATCAAACTCACTTGAAAATTGGGCAATTGTTTAACAGTGGATTCGGTTCATGACGAAACGTGGGCTCCAACCTGCAGCCTCAGGACTACAAGACCACATTGCTGACCACAGAAGCCTGCCCTATTATGTTATTTACACAAAATTAGCATTAAACTGGTACAAATAATACTGAATCAACAAACCTTTCTTAAATTAATTTAAAAAATACACTTTTTGGGGTTGACATTCATAAAAAGGTATAGGATTGCCACAAATCGACAATGTGTTTATTATTACAGCTAGTGGGTATGAATTTCTGGTATGGTGCCTTTGAGGCTCTGCATTCAACTCTGTGTTTCGTGTTATTGTTCAAGTAAAACCACAGCTATCATTTTGCAGTTGTAAAAGTTTTTAGTTACTCATGGTTTGAGATCTTGTCTACAGCACAGCGTTCTTATTCTTGTGAGCAATATTAGCCTTCCCTCTCTTGTTTCTTCTCCAGCACACACAGCCGATGATAGAGCTGATTACAACAGTAGCCACCACTGCAATGGCGATTAGAATAATTGGAGTATTATTAAGTAGTCCACCATCTGCTTTCCCACTGCTGGTCACCAGCTCAATCTCTGAGGTTGGTGTGGCATTCACATCAGATGGCGAAGTGCTTTGTTTGGGTGAAAATGTACTGGGTATCCTTCTCTTCACAGATGAGGTCAACACAGGCTCTTTAGTAGAGTTGAATAGCATCAGGTCCTTGTCTGATAGCGTAGCAATCATTTCACCGTTCAGACTAACAGGAGTTTCACACAACACAAGGGTTTGGTTGACCTTTGATGGGTGTCGTTTCAGCCAGTCCCTTAGAGGTAAAATGTCCTTGTCACATCTCCAGGGGTTCTGATGCAGAATAATTTCTTGCGCAACAAAGAGTGCATCTAGACTCTCCTGTGGTAGGTTAGGGAGAGAATTATTTTGTAGTTCTATCTGCTCAAGGTGATGCAGGCCTTTGAGAAAACCCAAAGGAAGTGAGCTGATAAAGTTATGCTCCAAAGAAATGTTGACAAGATTCGGCAAATCTTTGAAAGTCCCAGCTTGCAGCGTTGTGAGACGGTTGGTGTGCAGTGATACTTCTCCAAGATGGTTCAACCCTCTGAAAGCACCTTTAGATATATACTTGATTTGGTTGCGACTGAGCACCAGGAGATGTAATTGGGTTAGGTTCATGAACGTGTCATCTTCCAGTCGGCTCAGTCTGTTGTCATACAACCACAACTCTTGCAAGGGCATTGGCCCAAAGATCCCTGGACCCAGACTTTCCAAGTGGTTTTCATACAGGGATATCTGAGAAAGAAGGGGCATACTGAAAAAAATCCCTTCTGGAAGTGAAGTCAGCCTGTTGTTGGAGAGAAACAGCTTCTGGAGCTTCCGATTCTTGGAGAACAAGTCATGTTGAAGATGAGTGATTAGATTGTCTTGTAGAGAGAGTTCCTCCAGATTTACAAGGTCGTTGAAACTCCCAGCAGGAAGATCCTTCAGCAGGTTTTTGTTAAGCCGTAAAGTTTGCAGCTCAAAAAGACCCTTGAATGTCTCACTTAATAGTTGATTGATACTGTTTCTGGAAAGTGACAGGTACTGCAGCTTTGTTAGAGGGTGAAACGTCTCCTCAGGTATAGAAGTTATAATGTTCTTACTGAGGTCAAGGTTCTTCAGTTCTGTCACCTGGATAAACCACTGAGATCGGATCACGGAGAGCTTGTTCATCTTCAGAACCAAACTCTCCAATTTCTGCAACCTATGAAACAAATGTTCAGGGAGATCTTGTACTTCTGTGCCAGTTAGCACTAGCATGTTTATGTTTAGAGTAGAATTGAATGTTCCAGGGTGCACTTCCTTCAAAAGAGTATCTTTAATCAGCAAGTTTCTCAAAGCATCAGAGAAATCGTTGAGGTCCTCTGGTTTCAGAGCGTCAAAACTGCATTCAGACAAGTAGAAGTGGGTGGTAGCTGAAGGCACAGCTGTTGGGAAATCAGTAAGACTGGTGCAGTGGACATTTGTCTGTACACATTTGCATCCATTTGGACACGCCCAGACAACAGCACCAAGGGAGCAGAGAATTAGAAGCACCTGGCAGATCACTGACAGATCCATTGTTGTCCTGGAGCAGAAGAGAAGAAAACATAATTCAGCTGGGGCGTCATAAACTGTGTACGGGATATTTAACTCAAAAGTTGTTATTTTCTTATCAGAAACTCATTCGTTTCTGTCTGCAAGTCAATTTCAACATTAACATAAACTTTGCTCATCCTGTGAATAATTTCTGTTAGCCTTATTCGTTCATGGTAAATAAAAACTAACATCTTTTTCTACTTTAAATACCTGTGTAGACAAATCCCACTGGTTTAGAAATTTCCCCTCCCATAATGAAGTCCAACTGTTCTTGTTTTTATTCCCCCTTAAGCTGAACTGGCACTGATTGTTATGGTCTCACAAAATAGATCATGCAAAGACTCAACAAACAACTAACCTATTCTATCTGTGCAAAACCAAGAGACAAGCAGTTACCATGGCTAACAATGACCACATCTCAAAGCTATACTTTTAGAAGGCAAGGGCTGATTTTACCTTTTCACTGAAGCCAACTGGATTGGTCTGGTATACCTTAAAGTTGTTTACTTGGTCTGTCACTTAAAGACACTGAAAAGAGGCTGTACTGATGCAAAAATAACCACTTTTCACATTAACCTAACCACTCATTTTATAATTCAGTTTTAATCGCGCACAAAAAGACTCAAAGACAGTTATTACACAAGCAGTCAGATTACTGAACCCTTGATAATAATACTGAACAATTGACATTAAAATTGCACCAAGCCACATCTGTGACACCTAATATGTTTATTGCTGCTGCACTATGTGGCTGTATCGTGTATGTCACTCACTACCTGGCCATCATACTTCAGTTCATTCACTACCTGTGCAATAACCTGTCACACAACCGGTATGTGCAATATATATAATGTGCATTTAAGCAATATTACTACCTATAAAATGCTTATTTGTGCAAATTAATCCTACTTGCACCATTATATACCATGTTGTTTACTATGTTTCTTTTGGACCTTGTAAATATATATTTTTTTCTTTTCACTTTTGGTACTTTATTTTGTACTTTCATGGTATGTTTTAGTATTTCTTGTTTTTTTTTTAAGCGAGTTTAATCAGTTCTTCTCATTCTGAACATTGCATTGCATTTCTGACCTTGTGTTGACCTGCATATGACAAATAAACAATAAACTAACTAAACTATCTCCAAACTCTTTGCTCCTCAGAATAATTGAAGCCAAACATATTTATTATTCCGGAAGTCGTACCACCTCTTCTAAATGTTCATTGATATCAGGGTTAGGTGCCAAAACAAACAAAACAAATTGAAAAGGTTTCAAAAACTGACTGTTTTATTCTGCGAACCATTGAAAAGAGCTTCTTTTCTCCAACAATAATGTTGAGTTTCCTGTGGTCCTCTGTTTTTCATTCTCCTTTTAGTGCTATTAAGGGACATTTAAAAAAAAAAAAAACTACTATAATAAGGAAGTTCTACTCAAGGCATCTGTAATTAGTAGCAGTGTGCAGAGACTGCAGCCTCAGCACTCCTGTTTTATGCCAGAACTTAATATTTGCATAAAGTGATTTAGTGTTGCCTGTGAGTAAGAGCTTTACCTGCCAACATCGCCAACACGACTGCCTGTTGAATCACAATGATTTGTGGACTTATATAACTTTACTCAGGTCTTGGGGTTTTCCAGAAGTGGGGTGTCAAATGTTTTGAGAAGTGCATTTTTAAACAGTCATAGATTTTTCAGCTACAAGCCAAAAAACCAGCTAAAAGTTAGGGTGCATTTTCTGTGTGTTTCAGTACGACAGATGGTTTGCTCTTGATTAAGACTGCAGCTGCTTGTCATGGTTGTAAAAGCACCGGAGGTTTGGAGGACAGAGTTGAGCCAACATAATGACCCACTTCTCCTCTGATTCAGTCTGAAACTTACGGCTGGGAAACGTGAACTGTTTCTGAGTGGCTGAGGCGTCACTGGAGGCAGACACTTCCTTTTAAAGGAAGTAACTTTCCAATGATGCTCAAATTAGGTAATTTGCCGAGGAAAGATTTTTTTCTTTCCATTTTCATTCTTTCTTTCTTCTTTCTTTCTTTCTTTCTTTCTTTCTTTCTTTCTTTCTTTCTTTCTTTCTTCTTTATTTCTTTCAAAAACAAGGTCATAAAATATCACAGCTGTTCACGTTTTATTTGGGTGTCTGCTTTCAATTAAAGGTTGGGTTGTAGGGGCCCATTTGGATTTGGAAGTAAATGGCTTTAACATATATATATATATATATATATATATATATATATATATATATATATATATATATATAAGTTTTACTTTCATATGATTCAGAATTTTCAGCTTTTCATTGAACTTTATTTATTTTTTTTATGAGATTCATCACTGTGTTCTTCTTAGCCTCTTGTTTTACAGCTCAGAGTTCTGTTTTATGTTAAGGGAGTGTTTTCAAACACTCAACCACCCACATCTATAAAAAAAATATAAAAGCTCTTATTCCCACCAGTAACTAGTAATCCAAATACAAGTACTTATTTGTGTGTGGCGCAGTGGAAACGTGTGACAACACTAAAAATAACTGGTTATTTAAACATCAGTTGGGTTAAAAACACACGACACACACAGCATCATGCTCCTATGGAAACTCATTGCTGTTTCCAATTCTATATTCAGACTGTTTTTAAAATGAGACACATGGAAATGTACTTTCTTTAAACTGCCACCAAAACTCATGTCTACTCCTCCCTGAAGGACCTGCTGTTATTAGCAGCATTAGTGGCTTTTGTTTAATCTCTCTTTCATACAGGAATAAATCTGAAACATGTCAAAATCACCTTTTTAACAAACACATTGTAAACAGATGATGAAGTTAAGTATTCAACACATTTAATGGTTAAAGTTGCTTTATGCTTATAGTTTAATATCATTATTTCTTTTTTTTTTTTTTTTTTTTTCTTATTTTGTCTCATTTTTAAATGTGAACAGTTTTTCCTGACTGTCTACAAGTTCAGTGAAAACCAGTAATCACCTCTCTGTTGAGCTGTCGAGCAGAGCTTACCTCCGGCTGTGGTCGATGATGAAGGAGCAGACTTGAGTGAGACAGTTAGAGCGGTGGTCTTTTATGAACAACACCCTTCCTCCTGCAGCTTCACTAATCCTTTGAAACTTCTCAGCTCTGCCTGAACTCTCACACTCTCACATTTTTCATGCTCCGTGTCATCTTTCCATTCATTTCGTTAGTCAGCTCCTTTTCTTGCCGGCTGCAGTTTGAGTTCTTGAGATGGTGTTTGTCTTGTCGTCTTCTCTGCCCCCTTGTGCCTCTCACAGGGTCTTTATTTATTTATTTATTTATTTCTAAATGTGGTGGAGGGGGATGAAACTCCACCCTGTTGTGTTCTCCAGCCTGAACTGATTTTGTTGCCTGCTCAGTGCATGTGTTTGGGATAAGAATGTTACAGGAAGCAGTTTGGTTAAAAACAATGGACAGAGTTGTGTTTTCGTCCTGTTTGTTTACATGTGTCTGTTTGGGTGTAAATAACATCTGTTGCATATATTTGAGATCAGCTGCTTTGCGCGTAAAACCTTGAATGTTGCCTTTAATACGTATGATCAGTCTTACTTGTGCTGAAATAAACAAAATGTTCAGTTCAGCATTGTTTTTATTTTTATCATAGTCATCGTGATGCGTGATGACACTATTTGTGCTTCCAAAAAATAAATAAACAATAACATAGTTCTGTGTAAATAACTATGTGCAGCAAAACTGTCAGCAGTTTGAATGCCTATAAACCAGTGGTTCTCAAACTAGGGTCCCCGGACCCCTGGGGGTCCGTGAGCCGGTGCTTGGGGTCTGCCAAATAAAAAAATAATTTTATTTATTTATAAAATTGCTATTTGCGTTCCGATGTCGATGGGTTTACAAATTACGCCCTGTTACTTGGTGGTACTTCTGCTGTTATGACACTGTTCAGTTTCATGTAAAGAGTTTTCTGTAATAATTGGAAGAAGTGACGACACATTTATTATGTTCATTATGTGAATAAAGTTTTAAAAAGGCTTTTGATCATTTGAATGATGATGATTGAAAACTACCCTATGTTTAAAAGTATAACAATTGTGTTAACACTATTAAAGAACAGGTTTTAAGTATTTATGTTGATGGGGTCCCTGAAACTTTTTCTCCCCTGTAAGGGGTCCCTGAACACAAAAAGTTTCCTGCTATAAATTATTTTCAAGAACCACTTGAAAAAAATTTGAGTTATATTAAAACAGCAACATTTCACTTTTGTCTTGGCCTCGTTCTGACTAGCCATTAGCTCATCAGTCCAGCAGAATGACCATGTTCCATGTCTGAAAAAGTTAGAATAGAATAGAATAGAATAGAATAGAATAGAATAGAATAGAATAGAATAGAATAGAATAGAATAGAAACCGCCTTTATTGTCCCACAGATGGAAAATTCAGTGTAACAGCAGCAACAGATAAAAAGATTCAAACAAAAAGTTCCTAAAATGTTAAAAGCAATATATAACAAAATAAGATAAACAATACCAATAATATTATTGTTGGGACGTTGTGTAATGTTTTTTTCTGTTGTGAGTTGTAAACTAGTTTTCCTAACAAAAAGCTATCTACAACAGGTAAGATATTCATTGTTAATAACCTTCCATCACTTTAAGTCTTAGAGAGTGATGAGCGATGCTCGTGTCAATGAAATTGATATCCTCTAATTATTACAAAAACGCTTTTGTTTTTTGTTTTTGTCAAAGAGTGAGCAGGGAGTCTTATCTGTAGACGCTGTTTTCAACATCCAAACTCTCACACTGGACCTCGCTGAGAACTGATAATGAGGGTGGAGTTAACAAATGTGCAGAAGTGTCTTCAGCACAGAAAACCACACTGGACACGTTTTGTGATATTATAAAAGAAGTTCTGTTAGAAACTGTGGTCATAATACTGTTTTAAATTTGAATTATTTTTATTCGCACATCAATTCTGATGTTTGCTCAACAGAATTTATTTTTCCTCTTCCTTTTTTATT